TCTGCTTCTGCGATGATCGCCTGGAACGTGGGATCTCCAGCTTGCACCTCAAGGACCACCTGGTGGGGGGAAGGACCTGAGCAGGCTGGAGGGGGCGGGGCCCCAGGGATCAACGGAACGGGCCAGTGAGACAGTCGGCGCGAGGCGCGAGCGGGCGCGCACCGGAGGGGAATGGCAGGCCTGGCAGGGCCTCGGGGGCGGATCTAGGGGAAGGAGGCGGGGCACTGAGGGGCGGGCTTGAGTGACTGACAGGGTGGGGGCGTGACTAGCGCCTGCTGCGGAGACTGCAGTGAGGGGGGTGTTTCCGCAGATGACCGAAAAAACAAGGCGGGAGCCAGGGCGAGGGTTTAGCGAGTCTTGGGAAGGCAGTGCCAGAATGACGGACTGGCCAAGGGGCTGGCCCAGGCTGAGCGATTAAGGACGAGCCTCAGGGTAGGGGCGGGGTCGGCGGGCGGGCTAAGCTAGGCGAGCCGGGCACCGCCAGGGATAAATGACGCGGCTGGGACAGGGCTGGAGACGGTGGAATGCTTGCCAATGAGGTAGAGTCCAAAAGAGCGGGCACAAAGACTGCCCGAGGGACTAGGGAAGGATGACTGGCAGCTCCAGGACGGGAAAGGAGGGAGGAGACTACGGGCGTAGGTGAGTAGTGTGAGAGACAAGACAGGTGGCAGGACTTGGAATAAAGGCCGCTTATGGGTGGGGCCAAGGGGCCATGAGTGACAACCTCACTCATGGCCCCTTGGGGTCGGCCTCAAACATCTCCCCTGCAACTCTGAGAGGAATTGCTCTTCCAGCTGAACATCTAGGGCTTCGTGCATTTCATGCCCCAGGTGTGGTGCAGAGACATCAGACCTGCCGGAAGGAGGTTTCCATCTTCCAGGCCACCGGTCCCAATGAAATCCAGCCAAGGGCGTTCACCTGCTTCCGACTGCACCATGTGGGTCTTTCCTAGGACCAGGAAACCCGCCACTAGCGATTGTCTCCATGGTAGCCCTGGTTCGGCGTCGGTTCTGACTCGGCCCGCCTGTCCACAGTTGCAGAAGCGCTGTCTGGACTGCTTCCTGGTGTATCTCCGGGTCTTCGAGCGATGATCTCCGAGCTAGCGCTGCTGCCCGGAGCCGCCCGGGGCCCTGAAGGCCTCAGTGTTCCGGAATTACAGTGTCTGCTGGGAGTTGGCGCGTCAGCAGGCATTCCATCTGGAGAGAAGGATAGGGATCGGCTCTTTGTCGTGACCACGCCTCTCTGTTCACTGGCCCCTCCCTCCGCCCAGCTGGCCCCACCCACTTAGTGCCACCGCCCCTGCTCTTCCCTGGCACCCCTCTAACTCACAGTCCCCGCCCTTAAGGATAAACTCCGTCCAGTCCTACTCTCAGACTCCAGCTACCCGCCATCTCCAGCCCAGTCCTTGGCCTCGTCCCGCGTCCTTCCCGTCCCAGGCTCCCCATGTTCAAACGGCTCCAGGAGCTCCCCAGGGGCTTGGAATACGAGTCTGCGATGCTTTGTCCAACACAGCAGCTCTTCCTACTTTCGCCTTCGGGTGCTTTCTCGGTACCTCCTCTGGGCTGGGAGAATGAAGGTGGTCCTGCATGAAATCTGAATTGGGCGAGGGGAGACGGTCGGACCAATGGGATGCTGAGGTCGTGGCTCAGGTCCTTGTGTCTGGGCAGAATCTCAGGGGCTCCCTGAATCTGATCAAGTGAGTGAGAGCTGTTCCTTTCTGTACTATGGGCTCCCCTGGGGAGGGTTGGAGCCACAGGGCCTCTCACCTCCCATTCCTGCTGTTTCAGAAATCTCAGCCTGCATTTGCATAGAGGACCCCTTGCCCTGAGTGGGCTGTAATACTCTATCTGGAGTCCGCCTTGTGCCCACCAAGGTTCCCAGAGAAGACTCCTACTCCCTGGTCCCCACACCTCTGAGTGATCTGTTTTATGGAAGAGTCTGACTATTCCCAGGTTCCAGGCCTTAAGACGCTGCTGGACATCACCCCCCGATGGTCCTGCTGCCCTATGTCAACCTTGAGCTGCCTGGAGCCTGCCATCACCCAATCACCCTCAGCCCTGGGGCTAGCTTCCCAAACAGATGCTCTTTGTCACAGCATCACCCCACATCTGGAGACCGGAGTTCCCACAGAAGCGGGAGTAAGGGACGGTAGAGGACAACAAAGGATTGAGTTCTCCAGATGACTTCTCTTGGGAGGCCTGTGAGCTCTGGGGAAACTGAGGCTCAGAAATCAGGCTGCTTGGTCGCCATCGAGGCAGCAGTAGCGCTGCCACTCACACATCGGCCACTCACTCCAGTGCAACCGGCCTGGAAAGTTCTGATGAGACTCCAAGTGTATCCTCCCCAGGCTGCCTGAAAGTGGATCTTCCTTCTTCTTCTGTCCTTAGGCCTACTCTTCAGGACATCCTGGACAGCATCCAAGAGGTGAGGTGATCCTCTTGGGGTTCTCTGAATCCCCTTGATCACAGGGAAGGGGGAGCAGCAGTCCCCAGGAGTAAGCAGGGCCAATCCTGGGCGCTGGGGTCTCTTAGACATCCAGGAGACTCCCACACTGCCTTCTCATCTCCCAGAATAGAGGTGGCCTGCATCCTGCCCACTGTAGGGTCTCTCTCTTCAAGGCTCATCTGCCTCTGGGGCAGTAAGCCCCTTCTTCCAGGCAGTAGCTAGAGTGGGTCTTTATGGCCTCACTGGGCTGCAGGAACCGTGATGGATGATTGGGTGCTCAGCACACCTCACTTGACCAGAGCTTGGACACCTAGAAAGCTCTGGCCTCAGGTCACAGAAGGGACTCACAGCCTTCACCCATCAGTCCAGCATCAGTATTCTAACAATCCCAAGCCACATTTACTGAACTCATGTTCTGCTCCAATAACCACACCACTCCCCATTTTAACTTTGTTGGCCTTCCATCTTTAAAATAAAATCTGAGATCCACACCATGACTTCCGAAGCCCTGCTTGGTGTTCCAATCTCTCTCCAACTTTCTCCTTTGCCCATTACAATCTGACCAAGATGGTCTCTCTCTATTCTTTGAATGCATCTGTGTTTTCCTGCCTTTGGGTCTTTGCCCAGGCCTCTTTCTACTTGGAACTAGATTGTAAGCCCTATAATGGCAGGGACTGTGTTCAGTTTTGTTCAGTTTTGTTTCTCTCTAAATCCTCATGTGTTTAAACAATAGACAATAATGCCAGCTCTAACAGGTCTTAATAAACAGTCCTGGAATAAATGTGCCTGATGCTTTTCTATTGATGTATTTAATCTTTACACAAAGAAACTCAGGGAGGTTTAGCCTTTTGTTGAAGGTCACACGGCTGAGCGTTGAACCCCAGAGGGAGAGGTTTTCACCTGTCATTGTGAATGGGGGCATGAGTGCCAGGTGGTATACCACAGGCCATCCCCAAATTCTAGATGCCTGTAGCTTCCTGCAGCAGGAAGCATTGGGTCTGTGCTGCAAAGCTGGCAAGACTTGGGTCCTCAAAAGCCCTCTGAGAGTATTCCAGGTAGAAGAACAGCAGTGAGCAGAAGTGTGAAGGCAAGAAGATCCAGCTCCTGGGACAACTGGACTCAGAGGGCTGGGCCAGCCCAGGACACACAGCTGGGTGGATCCAAGGCTATATCAGCTGGTGGTCTCCAGAGGCTGGACCCTGATGGGCAGGGAAATTGAGGCATGGGGTCAGTGTCACTGTGCAATCCCTCTCCCCAGGCTGTGGGTGGGAGCCCCCAGGGACGCGGGCTGGGCGTTTGCAGGCAGGACGTTCCCACGCGGGGGCGGCCCTGGGGAAGGCTGTGGGGCGGGCCCGGGGCAGGCGCCAGCGATCCAGTCCCTCTGCAGCCTCTTCTGTTACTTGCTCTGCAGACCCGGGTCGCATGCTGGCTCCCTCCAAGCTGCAAGGTGAGTGAGTGGCTGGGGAGAGCCCTGGCTGCCCAAACATGGGCCGGTGGGGGTTGCGGCTGGGACTCTGGCTTTCATCACCCCGTCAGGGCCTGTGGGGTCGCTGCTATGGAGGAGGATCTGGGGGCTGGGGGCTACTGGCAGCTCAAGGGTGAGGGGAATTTTCCTCTGTCCACATATGGGGCACTATCTCTTTCCTCAAATGTAGATTACTCCCTCCCCACAGGTGGGGCTCTGTCATCCACTTATCACTGATGAGTAACCCTTCCTTTCCAGATGTGGGGTGTCTGTCCACTTTCCACATATGGTACACCCTACCCTCTCTCTAATTACTGGGTGCCCTTCTCTCGCTCTCTAGATGTAGGGGTCCTTTCAGTTTCTGGAAGTGGGATACCCTCTTCTCCCCAGATGTGTGCCCTCTCTTCCTACCTCTGACCCAGTTTGGGCTTTGTCCACCTCTGAATCTCCTCTTCAAGGCCCCCCTGCCCACCCCGCTACCCCGCCCCAGGTTGCCAAATCCTGATTTTCTCTGGGGATAGGGGGTTGGGCTCGTCTGTCCCTCTCCCTCACCAGGTCCAGCAGAGCAGGCTTTCCAGGCACGTAGGCAACCAATTACGGCAGGCGGGGGTTGGGGGGGTGGCGGGGCAAGCCATCTGCAGGAGACCTTGGCAGATGGCCCTGTAGCAAGACAGTTGTCCCAGGAACTGCTCCCTCCCGACCTGGCCGCCCACTCTGTTTCCTCTGGGGGGCAAACAGCTCAGGGAGCTTGTCTAAGCTAGCCACCCACTGTGAGCTGAGGCTGGAACCAGAACCTAGGCTCCCAGATCCAAACTGTTCAGGCCCTGACTTAAGAGTTAGGCCTCGTCCCACTTCTCAGATGGCGAATTTAAGCCCCAGGAGAGGGCTCCAAATGTCTAGAACCCCTATCTACCCCCATAGGCATATCATACAAACTTAGAAGGGCGGGGGCTGGAGATGACCTTGATATCCTGGAAATCATGCCCTTCCCGGTCACCACACCTGTGTAAACCGTGTGTCTCTGTCTGGGTCCTGAGGGGAAGGGCAGAGGGCAATGTGAGGGCAGGACTCACCCCAAACCACGCCCCAGATGTCCTTCAGAGCTGCCTGGAGCTTGACCCTGAGGAAAGGGGGCCTTGGAATGCGAGGGATCCACAGCCCAGGAAGCACCGGTAAGACGTGGACATGCCCTCCCTTGCCGAACTCTGAGGCTCAGGGCAGGGGTCCTGTCTGCAGGCTGCCTGCCCCTGGTCCCTTCCATGCTGCTCTGGGCCTGCCCTGAACCATTTCCCATAATCCTGGTCCTTGGTGGGGGGAGGGGGGCGGCCACGTTCCTCCAGGAAATAACAGCCCCCTCCCCAAAGCGTTCTCAGGGCCTGACGCCTGTACCTCAGGTTCCTAAAGCCTTTGTGTCTGGAGGCAGAGGATGCTGACAGAACCTTCTGGACCTTTGTATCCAAGCCAGTCAGAAGAAAGAGGCCTAAAGAAAGAGAGACTTGAGCCAGATAGACGGGCCTTCTTGACCCTCTGGAGAATGATGATAGATAACATTTATTGAGCCCTTACTGTGTGCCTTGAGCTGGGATCGATGTTTTGCACAGATGAACATATTTGGATTTCAAAGCAGCCATGTGAAGTGGACACTGTGCCATTATCTCCCTTTCTCAGATGAACAAACAGGCCCAGAGCCGGGACTCTTTTTCCCAAAGCGGTTCCCACGCTCTCTGGGCAAGGTGGTACCAATGCCCTCCTGGAGGGCATCCCATGTGACAGTAAACAGAAGAAGCTTTACGGAGACTCTTCTAGGGCCCAGCCTTGTTCTGGACACTCACACGGAGCCCTCGAGGGCTAGGCTATCAGGGAGAGCTTCCAGGCATGGAAGTGAGAAGTGAAACCAACATCTACCAGTGTAAATTATGTCTGCCCGGGCCCGGGCATTATCTTGAAGCTTCCACAATAGTGTGAGATAGGATCGCTTAGTATCCCCACTTTCCAGATGGTGGGCCACACTGAGGTAAAGAGGGCATGTCGGAGCTGGGGTGGGGTGGATCTGGGGTCCCGCGACTCCAAAGTCATGCTCGGGACCACTCACTAAGGGCATAGGTCTAGTGCTTTGCAGTTTGCAGAGCAGTTTCCCACCTGCCATCCCAGGTTCATCTCTCTGAGCCTTTCTCTGCCCATTGCCTTTGCCTGATGTGCCCTCCCCACCCCAGATTTTCCCAGAGGACACAGGGTCTGGAGCCAGAGGGGCTGAACTGCCTCCCTGGCCCAGCTCCCTCTTTCTCTGTGGATTTCAGCAAGTTCCTTAGCTACTCAGTTTCTTCCTCTGTAAGATGAGAATAATATCACTGTCTCAGAGCCATGCCAATGAGTCAACTCGCTCAAAGGCCTTAGCATGTTTCCTGGCACACAGTTTAAGTGCTCAATACATGCTACCCTCTTTGTTAATCTTATGGTTGGTGCTGGGATGTCTCAGGGGCAGCCTCATCTCCACTCCTCCCTGTGCCCACAGCCCACGGCAAGGAGAAGATGCCCCCCTACACTAACTACCATGCCCAGCGCTCCTACCCCATGCCAGAGGAGCCCTTCTGCATGGAACTCAACGCTGAGCAGCAGGCCCTCAAGGAGAAGGAGAAGGGCAGCTGGACCCAGCTGAGCCACGCCGAGAAGGTGGCCTGTAGGTCTCAGGGTGGGGATGGGGGTGATTTTGCAAAGAAGGGCCTGGCCTGTTAGGGGGCAGCCGGCAGGGAGAAACCCTGGCCAAGACAGCCAGAATCCACTCCCCCAAATACTCAAATGCATACCTGAGTGGTGAATTTCATTCCTTTGTTCACTCCCTTTTTAATTCACACAACTGTTTGAGCACTGATGCTAGGTGATGCTGGTGCCACAGAAGTGAATCATGCGGAGGGTTCCTGCCCCTAGGGTGCTCCCAGACCAGTGGGGGAACCAATGCAAATGCAGAAAGCTGTAATAGAGGATATGCTGCTGGGTGAGGTGTGTTCACCGGGCTGTGAGAACCCAAAGGAGAGAGAGAGATGCAATCCTGGTAGGCTTTCCCGAGAAGGGTTGTTCTAGCTGGCCTTGGATGGTGAGGGGGAGGGGCAGCCAGGCAGTGGGAACAGCATGGGGAAGGATATGGGAGCTGGAGAGCATGGAGGGTCCTGGGCTTCACTGAGTCGTGTTGGGGGGATGGAGCAGAAAGAGGCAGGTGAGTTGGGTGGGAGAGCAGGGGTCTGGCGCTCGAAGCAGGAAGGATGTGTGACACCAAGTGCTGCTCACCAGAAGTGCCCCCCCCGGAAAGCCTCGAGCCTCATCATCAGCTCCTAGCCATGCTTTGCACACAGTAGATGCTCCGTAGGAATTTGCTGAATGGACAGCTTCTGCTGCAGGGAGTGGGGTGGCTGGAGGTCCCTGAGGCCAAGAGTTGGCCCAAGAATTGGATGTATCTGAAGCCCCTCCCCCCCACCTCCCACTTGCCTCCAGTGTACCGGCTCCAGTTCCATGAGACTTTTGCAGAGATGAACCGTCGCTCCAATGAGTGGAAGACAGTGATGGGCTGTGTCTTCTTCTTCTTTGGATTCACAGGTCTGCTGATTTGGTGGCAGCGGGTCTACGGTGAGTGGCAGTGCCTCACCCAGCCACAGTCCTTCCATGCCCTTGTGGTCACAACCATCAGCCAAGTTTTGATAAGTGAACTAATCTAGTACTCATCTGAAAAGTTTTTGAAAAGTCCTCCAGCATGATGTAGGGTGAAGGGCAGAGCATGGCTGCCTGGGTTGGAATGTAGGGACTCTGCCTCTCTGGGTCTCAACTCCCTCATCTGTAAAATGGGAATAATAGTGCCTACATCTCAGGGTTCTTGTGAGGAGTTATTTATTTATTTATTTATTTTTCATTTATTTTTATTAGGTGGAAGCTAATTACTTTACAATATTGTAGTGGTTTTTGCCATACATTGACATGAATCAGCCATGGATTTACCTGTGTTCCCCATCCTGAACCCCACTCCCACCTCCCTCCCTCTTGTGAGGATTTAATGAGAGGGCTGTAGGCTAGTGTTAGGCACATAGTTATGAATGGCGTTGTTACTGATTGGTTACTGATTGCTGTTATTAGCCATGAACTTTTCAACATATTGTTTCAGCTGTCGTAATATACAAGAGCTTAAACAGCATAGAAAATGGTTTCTTAGGCTTCCCCCTTCCTTAACCCCAATAAAGCTGGCTGAGGGGAAGCATAAGAAACTATTTCATCCTGGACGCTTCCCAATAAGTTGGAACAAACTCAGTACTTATAACTATGGTGGTGGTGGTTTAGTCACTAAGTTGTGTCAGATTCTTGTGACCCCATGGACTGTAGCCTGCCAGGTTCCTCTGTCCGTGGGATTCTCCAGGCAAGAATACTGGAGTGGGTTGCCATTTCCTTCTCCGGGGGATTTTCCTGACCCAGGGATCGAACCTAGGTCTCCTGCACTGCAGGCAGATTCTTTACCAACTGAGCTACCAGGGAAGCTATGGTAGCTATCATGTATTAGGAGCTTAATATCTGTCCCGCATTCTGCTAATTGCATTATAAATACTAACAAATTCAGTCTCCACAAGCCTAGTGGACAGGATCTGTTTTTGACAGGTTAGGAAACTGGGGTTCAGAGACGAAGTGACTTGTTCAAGGTAACACAGCAAGGGAATGGTGGAACTGAGATTTGGACCCCAAAAGACTTCAAGTCAGTGCTCCTCCTATCCCTGGGTCCCAGAGTAGATGAGGAACCTGAGTCTGAGAAAGGGGAAGGGCCTCGCCCAGTTCCCCCAGTGAGTCCAAGGAGGAGCTGGGGACAGAACCCGGAGTGCAGCTTTAGTGGGGAGTCTAGTGGGGGATGGAGAGAGTGGGGAGGGGGCCTCAGGGCAGGGCATCTCGACCCCGTGCCTGGACACCCTGACTCAGTGGGAGGGGGTGGGCCTGGCAGGGTCCCATATGCCCCTGTTCCTACATGGTTCCTTCCCTGCAGTGTTCCCTAAGAAGCCCATCACCCTGACGGATGAGTGGAAGGCCCAGCAGCTCCAGCGCATCCTGGACATGAAGGGCAACCCCGTGCAAGGCCTGGCCTCCCGGTGGGACTATGAGAGGAAGGAGTGGAAGAAGTGACGTGGAATCCCGGTGGCTCCCCCTGCAGCTTCACCCTCGTCCAGAGGCCTCTCCTCTCCCTTAACCCCAATAAAGCTGGTGGCTCTCAACTGCCTTTAGTCCCTACCACAGTCTCTACCTGCCATAAAGCCTACATTATACTTAAGATTAGGCAGGACAGTAAGTGAGGGGCAATAAGGGGCAATAAGCCCCTTGCCAGGACCCCACTTATCAGGGAGGGCTTCCCGGAGGAGAAAGGGTTGGGGTTGAGCCTTTAGTGATAGGTGGGATTCGGAATGGCAGGAGGGAGAGGGAAGGCATTCCAGGTGGAGGGAATGGCTTGAGCAGGGGTAAAGACACTCCTTTATTCTGTCAATTAGCGAATATTACCGGGTATCTGCTGTGTGCCAGGTACTAATCCAGGCCCTGGGGATGCAGCAGTGAACACAACACACAGTCTCTGGCCTCATGGAGGAGGCGCTTCTTTATGTGTGTGTGTGTGTGTGTGTGTGTGTGCGCGCGCGCGGCCGTGGTAGGGGAGACAGAAAAGGGAATAAGTCCGTGCAGTACACAGTGTGTTACACTGTAGTCAGTGCTATGAGGGAACAAAACAGGGCAGGATGGAGGGGCAGAGCTAAAAGGGGCTTGGAGGGTGGTAGGTGAAGCCTCTTAGACGAGGTGGCAAATGAGAAAACAAAACAGCAAGTGAAAAGATCTTGAGATAGGATTTTAGTTTGTGGAACATCAAGGAGGCCACAGTGACTGCAGCAGAATGACTTGGAGAATTGTAAGAAGGTGTGTGCTGAGGGAGAGGGCTGGTCTTGCGGCAGAAAGCAGATTATATAGGAACACACACACACACACACACACACACACACACACACACACACACACACACACACACACACACACACACCAGAACCGAGAAAAGACTCCTTTCTTCTTGGTTTGTCCCCTCCAGCACCCCCTACTGGCAAAGTTCAGCATCTCACTGTACAGGCGACAAAGCTCAGAGTCGGGCTCATTGTCTTAGAACAGGCACTGGGGTGAGTTTGGGATGGAGAGACAATACATTGATAACTGGCACAGCATCTTTGGGAAAGTCTTGACCAGGCCAATAGGGAGCTTTAGAGCAAAAAATGAGGAGTCTTGTATTGGGAAAAATTGACCCATCCCTAGAGCCCCACTGTGCTCAGTCCTTGGCTAGGAGCAGCCCAGGGGGACACTGGCCTTGGCAGGAATACTCAGGAGCTCTGAGAGTGTAGCAGCCAGAGATGGTCATACACCTACCCTCCTCATAGCAGGTTCTCTTGAGAGACATCTGAGGAGCACACATCCGTGATACCCTGGATGAGGGAACTAAGAACCTACATGCCGTGCAGTGTGGTCAAAAAATGAAAATAAATAAAAATGAAAAGAAGTCCAAGATCAAAGTGTTGGTAAGACTGGCTTCTTTGGATGCCTCTCTCCTTGGCTTGCAGATGGGTTCCTTCTCACTGTGTCTTCATGTGGTCATTCCTCTGTGTGCATATCCATGGTGTTTCCATGTGTGTCCAGATTTCCTCTCCTTTTGAAACTATTTATTTACTTATTTGGCTGCACCAGGTCTTATTTGCAGCATGTAGGATCTTTGATCTTCATTACTGCACATGGGACCTTTTAGTTGTAGTATGCAAACTCTTAGCTGAGGCATGTGGGATCTAGTTTCCCGACCATGGATCGAACCTGAGCCCCCTGCATTTGGATTGCAGAGCCTGAGCCAGCGGACCACTAGGGAAGTCCCCAGATTTCTTCTTCTTATAAGGACACCAGGCAGATCAGTGAGGGCCTTACCCAATGACGTCATTTAAGTTTATCACCTTTTAAAAGGCCCTGTCTCCAAATACAGCTTCTCTTGTGGCTCAGCTGGTAACGAATCTGCCTGCAATGCAGGGGACCTGGGTTCAATCCCTGGGTTGGGAAGATCCCCTGGAGAAGGGAAAGGCTACCCACTCCAGTATTCTGGCTTGAAGAATTCCATGGACTGTACAGTTTGTGGGATCGCAAAAAGTGGGACATGACTGAGCAACTTTCACTTTCATCTCCAAATACTGCCACACTGGACATGTTAGGAGTTAGAGCTTTGACATATAAATTTGCAAGCAACACAAGCCAGCCCATAACACTTGGGTTTAGGGTTATTTACGTGTCTCCTTGTTCTGACACCAGCAGGCACCCAACACGTGTTCTTCTCATGAGAGAACTCAGAGACTCCTGAGGGGGCAGAGAGATGGTGGGGACCCATGGTACTCTGAAAGCCCAGGTTCAGAACCATACACAAAGAAAGTCCTGTGGCTAAAGCAAGTCCTGTGGTGTGTCTGTTACAACTGCTACATTCCAATCTCCCTTAAAACTTAAAAGCATGAAACGACCATTTCCTTAGGCTCACCAATTCTGTAGGTCAGGAGTTTAGGCAGGGCACACTGGGATCTGGGCTTCCCAGCTGGCTCAGTGGGTAAAGAATCCTCCTGCAATACAGGAGACACAGGTTCAATCCCTGGGTTGGGAAGATCCCTTAAAGGAGGGCATGGCAGCCCACTCCAGTATTCTTGCTTGGAGAATCCCATGAACAGAGGAGCCTGGCAGGCTACAGTCCATGGGATTGCAAAATTTTCATTATTGCCAGGTAGGTGTGGTATTCCAGGCTCCCAATGTGTTTCTCCACTGATACTGCGGGGAGGAGGGGTGGCAAGAGAGGGCTCATTAACTGGCAAGGAGAGATGAAAAGTCCTGCTCCCTTGGCCTTATCTCACAACACCCCACATTGATAGTGGGTAGTCAGGGCACCTTGAATCAGGGTGGAAGCCTAGAGTCCACACTCACCCTTTGTTGATGTAGATGGTCATAATTTTCAAAGTTCTTTTCCCAGTGGTATTTGGCTGGAGTAGAGCTGCGATCATCTAAAACTTCTATCTTACTAGGATGTTTCTCTCCTAATCCTTTGAATAGAGACAGCTGGCTTCACTTGGGGCTGTTTTTCTTTTCTGTGCCCACTGGCTTTTTTGAGTAGCCTGCTACAATGTCTTCAACCCCAAGTCTGGGATCTCTGAGACAGAAAACCCAGAGAACTCACCATTGTGTTGTTCCTCAGGTTCTCAGTCCCCATCCAGCCTGCCTTCTTTTTACCTTTCAGGGTTTTCTTATGCTTGTTGCATATACAACGTCCAGGGATTTTAGTTTTACTTAGCAGGAGAAATAGAGGAAAGCGCATCCTCTCCATCTTCCCGGAAGTGGAAGTATAGAAGGAGCATCATCTGTCCTGAGGGGTGTCCTCCAGGCCGCATTTTACTGATTGCCCTCCCATGTATCCCTCACTGTGTTCCTCTGTCCCCTGTATCTTCCGTTCAGCGGTGGTCACATTTAGAGGCTCTGGTCAGATTCAGACTTGACTTTTTGGCAAGAGTATTTCATGAACGTTCTTTTGCCAGGAGGCACACATGATGCCTCGCCGTCTTTATGTGCCATTTGCAGGCTTCGTTGGTCATTGTGTAGATTCATTAACTCATTAGGGATACAGATGGCTTCCACATTATCAAAAGATGTCAACCTCAATTAGAGGCTTGAAAATGAAATTTTAAAGTATGGGATACTATTTTTCCATCGGCCAGATTGACAAAGATCAAGGAGTGTTAACAAGGATACTGGCAAGGGTTCAGAAGACAGAGAGTTTCACAGGATGCCAGTTTTGGATGTCTCCATCAAGATGACAAAAGGCCTGGTAATTCTACTTCTATAAATAGCCTGTGGATACACATGCACATGCGCAAAATGATGGATCCGTGAGGTAGGTCAGACGGTAAAGAATCTGCCTGCAATGCAGGAGACCTGGGTTTGATCCCTGGGTCAAGAAGATTCCTTGGAGGAGCGCATGGCAACCCACTCCAGTATTCTTGCCTGGAGAATCCCATGGACAGAGGAGCCTGGCGGGCTACAATCCATGGGGTCAAGAAGAGTCAGACACAACTGAGCGACTAATATTACTAATACTACTACACATGTACATGTACAAAATGATGGATCTGTGAAGTTGTTCACTGCAGTATGGTTTAGATTAGCAAAAGTGGAGAACCATCAGTGGTGCCTCCCTCAAGCAGAATTTTCCAACTGACGTGCTCCCAAATTTTTCATAAGTTGTAGTAGATGTGATGGTGCCCCACCATGTGTCTTCAGACCACCCTCAAAGGTCATGTGCAGCTTTGGTGGACAGTTTTCTTTCAAGAAACAGGTACCTGGGTCTTCTTGATCATGGGTGTATGCTTGGCAGGTAGGAAGTGCCAAGTACTGAGGATAAATGACCTAGGAGCTGCCCTAGGCAGATGAGGAATGGGAGTTAGTATAGAAATACCTTGTGTTCTTGCCTTTAGAATGCTCCATGGGTCTATCAGTGGATCCTCTGAGAAGAAGCCCCATTGCCTGCGGTGGCAGGTTACTCATCATTGCATCTTCTGTTGATTTCCAAAGTCCCTCCCTGATCACCCCCTGATTCACTGTCCCCACTGCCCTGGGATCACCATTTAAACTACTTAGACTTAACTTAGTGTGCATGCTCAGTCATGTCCAACTTTTTGCGACCCCATGGACTATAAGTCCATGGGATTATCTCAGCAAGAATATTGGAGTGGGTTGCCATTTCCTATTTCAGAGGATCTTCCTGACCCAGGGACCGAACCCACGCCTCTTTTGGCTCCTGCATTGGCAGGTGGAGCCTTTACCACCGAGCCTATCTGAATCCTTATTTTAGGCTTTGCCTTTGGGAGGTATCCATGGTAAGGTTAGAGCTTAGCCCCAAGACTAGTCCTCTCACCAGTCCCTAGAGCACTGGGGGTAAGGGTTGGGAGGTCTGACAACATAGCCTGATAAAGTTTATATAATATTTATGGAGACAGAAACCCTTCTTAAGCACTTTACAAGCATAAAAATTTGCACGAAATCTGCATAACCACCCATCAGGTAGGTATAATTATCATTTTACGGATGAGGAA